TTTGTTTCAATAGTCACAAATGTTGTCACTAAGGCTATTCAGTTACTAAAAGGACAAAAAGAAGGTTAAAGAAACTTGTGAACTGGAAAGAGAACAGAAAATGCTTACACAACCCTTGAAATTTTTATCTTTTCTTAACTGACTCTGAAAGATGATACTGAAGTCAAATCTGCAGCTTAAATCCAATTTTCCTTCTTTGGCACTTCTCTGCATTTGCAACATGTTTTCCCAAATTTTACTTTTCTCAGCCAAGGAGAAAAAAGTGACAAAAGAAAAAAAAATAATAGTTAGGGTAGCCATAGCCATCGAAAACCACAGTAATTATTTCTTTCCTCTGGCTATCAGCTACTAGCTTCCCTGTCACAAGAAAAGTAAATTCTAAGTTAGAAACAACTTTCCTTAATACTCCTTAAGGCAGACAAAAGAAAATTCTACTCGAATGAACTTGACCAAGTTATGGGCTTGTCTGGTTAAACAGGTCATCTCCTATGTTTAGCTACAAGCTGCAGAAGTGGCATGGTATGTGAGTATTTGTATGTAGCCTCTGCAGGAGATACACCTGGGGGGACTTGAGAAGGGCATGGTTTAAATGTATATTCAGACTGATTCAGATTTTTTTCGTGTATGTACTTGTATTTTCTCTCCATCTGATAAAAGAAAGCACAAAGACAAAGGTTGATTTTAACTGTTAGGGAGTTACTAAATTACAGAGCACGGAAAGGTGGCATGTAGGATGAGCACAGGGGTGATTTTCGATTCTTGAATACATGTGTTGTAGGCAGCGTGGCTGCTGGGTGGAAGCTGTGTGTGAGGGGTGTTTCAGTGGCTGCAGTGGTCTGCTCAGCCCATGCTGAGCTAACATGTGAAAACTGGTGTTGGGTGAGCTCTAAATATGAGCTTATTGCCTGCTCCTTTTCAGTGCTTGCTGTCTTGGAAGGAAGTACAACTGCGTAATCTTAACAATAAGTTAGTGACACTTTTTGTGGGGAAAAGTAAATCCCCTGGCACACATTTCCAAAGGCCATTATATGCCTCCTTTGAGAGAACTAATGACACTGTACCAGCTCTCTTGCTACTGAGATACTTACTTTGTATTTGCCTGAAGAATCAGGCCAATGTTTTTAAAAGCACATTTAACTATACCATATGCCTACTTAAATCCTCCCTATCACACAAGTTGTAGGATGATGCTCTGGTTCATTCTGTTCTGTTTTCCTTCCTTTACAATGTGTTTATGTATATTTGTCCAATTTGTTCTGTTCCTCTTGCCAAATTGCAGGTTTGAGAGCTCAACTAGGCAGGGGCAGCTGTGCTATTGTTGATGGCTTACAAAAAGGTCACAGACTGAGCCTGTATCACTGGAACTGGCAGCTGCTTGTTAACCAGTATTGCATAGGCACAGAATGATCAGGCTTCACAGACCCTCCAAGTAGGAACCAATCTTACCTTGCCCCTCGGTAAGCAGGAACTCAAGTCTCACTTTTAAGACAGAATTTTAGTGCACATTAGTCTCTTGCAACTTATCTTGCCGTTTATTGATTTTATTGACATAATTGTTCCCTCAGTCTGGAAAAAAAGTAAATTTCAACAGCCTCCTCACAAAAAGCCAAAATCTGAAAACAAAGTAACAGCTGAGTTGGAAGCAATCAGTTACTGCATGTAACTAATCTTAGCTTTTTCATGTGTGTGATTGATAAGAATCACCAGCTGTTCCAGCCCAGGAAGCTACTGACCACATAAACAAGTAAGCTACAACAAGGTGTAACCCTGGAAAGAAGGTTGTTTGAGAATCTAGCCCAGCAACTCCAAGTAATGAAACAGCAAGGTGGGAGTGTTCCAAATGCCCTTTGTTTGCTAAGAGAGTTCAATCTGCAAGGCCTGTGAATGCAAAGTTATTTGACCCTTGGGTGGCCTGACACATATTCCTTCTCCTGCTGCCTTTCAGATCAGAAGCCAAGAGTCCAAAGGTATTTAAAAGGGTGTGTCTTACAGCTACGCATTTAAAATAGCAAGGAAAAAGGAATGCAAGAGCTGGAGCAGAGTAAGGAGATGAGACACAAGTCCACAGACACTGCTCTGAGACTGTACAGCTGGCTTTGAGGCGGTGTGTCTAACGCGACTTCACCACTGTGCTGTTAATTATTTAAAGGACAGCACTGGGGAAACTACCATCACATCTGTCACCCACATACAGGCAGAACCTTCACTCATGGCAGCACCAGATGTGTTTATTCGAGACATGTACTAACTAGATACTTAATGAGTTAGAGTTATTAGCCACAAGTTAATTAGGCAAACATATTAAACATCAGTCACTTTACCAAGCATCACTTCTAGAAGACTAGTTTTACTTCTCCCAAGCTGTTATGAACCAAAGGAGAAAAGAGGGAAAAAGTAAAGATGCCATGAAGAAGCTGCAGTGAAAAATAGATTTATGAAATCTGATTACTGTGTACTAACAAGAACAGCAGTGTTGCAGGTAATTGCCTTCGCTCTGTGCCTCAATACTGCAAGTACACTAGTGCATGGGAGGGAGCAGTGAAGCTGATTTGAGGGCCTCCAGGTGTTGGAGAAGCAAAGTGAATTAACAGAGAAAAAAGTTGGTTAGTATAGTCAGGCCAAACTTCAAAAACAAGGCTGGCTTCACTGCTTCTGCATATGTTGTACATAGCTCTGAGGATGCCAGCACTTGCGTGGCATTAGGCTGGCATGAGGAGCTCAGGAACAGGGCTGGCATATGTAGTGTGTTCCCCAAGAGATGAGACTGACAGCTGGTTTGGAAGTTTCTGGCTCCCAGATTGATGTCACAGGAAACAGTGGATGGAGTGAAGGCATAACATGCTCTGTCTCTGGGCTAGTGGGGCAGGGGGGGAGTAGTGAGGATCCTTTGTTAGCAGCCTGCCATGACAACCCTCTTGTCCAGCACCTTTCAGCTGTTCTGAATGAGCACCTGTCTAGAAATCAAATGAGGTACTTGGCAGGATGGAGCCCACAATCCATTCATCTTCACTGGGTCTGTTTGCTTTCATGTGTCCCTGCTCTTCCTCTTAAATCTGGTGCTGGTATTAATAAAAAAGACACTTTGAAACTGGAAAGCAAGAAGCCAAGTACCACTGTCTCAGTGTCATGGAAATAGCTTTCACCCAAAGCACCTAGAATTAAACATGAAACGTGTGCTTCCTGTGTGTATGGAGAGGTGGCTTCCCAGGGAGGCAGAAGCGGAGGGCCAGAGTGTCAGTGGCAGCTTGGGCATCAATTCCTGGGCTTTCAGCTAGTTTTCAGGTTTTTTCCTGCACAGCTGCCCTAAGTGTCCAAGGCTTTTCAAGTAGTGAGCAGGAGCTTATTGGTGCATCCTGCGAACTGCAGCCAACACCTTGTAAACAGGCTCCCACAGTATTGTTTGACATGGATTGGTCAGAAAACCATGGGAAGAAACGCACTGGATTCTCACAAGTCTATTTCTCCAATTGCACAGAGCTACAAGCTCTTACAGAATACAGAACCTTGGCTGCCTTGAAGCCTCTATTGAGAGATGCTCTCAGCCATGGTTAACTTGAAGCTTGCAGTTAATGCCCATTGTCCTCAGCCCTGCACGTGATCCACAGCATAAAGCAGAGCTGCAAATTCTGCTCTAAATCTGTACTTCACAGCTTAAGATCACACTACCAAAGCTTGGGCCACAGAGAAAAAGCTCTTGCCTCTGTTCAGGCTATCACAGCCTCCAACAACTGGTTTAGAAATGGAGCCTGTTTCAGGACTAGTGGGAACAAAAAGACAGCAGGTAATGCAAACTGTCAAACCAAAACGGCTGGACAGCATCAGTAAACATGACAGGACCAACCGTTTCAACTGTTGTTGAAAACATAACTCGACGGCTGGACAGCATCAGTAAACATGACAGGATCAACCGTTTCAACTGTGGTTGAAAACATAACTCATTTTCTAAAACTGAAACAAAACCCATAAATAAGTTTTATTGTCACATGTAGAGAGGGTGAGAAACCTTGAAGAGGAAGACACATGGATGCAACAGGTGGTTAAGTCAATTCCAGAAATAGGTCCTACATAAAACAAGGAGATGGTTACTTCTTTCCTGCCTCATCGTTTTATTTCAAAGGGTTAAGGGACTATATGTGAGTTGTAAAGACAGGATCAAAAGGAAATCAGGGATGAACCATATAGAAACAAAAAAATAATAATGTAAAGACCTGGGAAGTGACAGTACAGAAAGCACACAATGCTGATGGTGTTCGAATTCCCTCTGAGCTGCCATCCCATTCACAGATGAGAGCACAACAAGCAAAGCAGCTGTTGTCAAGAAAAGAACAAAGACTGGAGTGACACAGGCTCCTCCAGTGAGAAATGTGGTTAATAGCCAAATAAAAGCTTGTCTCAAGGTAGAGCTCACAGCTCAAACTCAAAGCCATGTGCTGAATCCTAGACATCATTTCCCTTTGTTTTCTTTCTAGGACAAAAATAGTTAATTTTTTTTATGGTTTTAGGAGTCTGAGCTGTTCTCCAGTTAGATTAAGACTTGCATTAACACTTGCTCAGTAAGGTTAATTTTTCCCTCAGTAACTCCTAACTGGAATGTCTGGATGGGATGTACGTTGAAAGTTGCCATTTAACTCAGGAACTTGTGCTGTTGCTGAGAGCTCTGAAAACTAGCAATACACAAAAAAAATCTGATGATGGCTAACAGATGATCTCATGCCTTATGTGCTTTGTTACAAGTGAACTGCACACTGGAGACTTAAGTCAGCCACTTGGAAACTGGGGGCAAGTCAGAATTTGGAATACAAGTGCGGAATTTTTCCTTCCTACCATGTAGAAACTAATTCCTATTTAATCTTTGCTCTTTAAGTGCCACCAGCTGTTCATGGTGGACAGGGTATAGGAAGGGATATATGCAAGCTGATGGCAGTGTGATTTCAATGGAGGGCACATGAGGTCATCAAAAAAGAGTAGTGCCGACTGTACCATCTCTGCATGTGGTCTGATCATAAATTCAAGGTAACTGCCAGCAAGGCTTCACTTGCAGTCAGGCTGATGCTTGAATTTGTTGGGTTTTTTGGTTTTGTTATTCCTTGAGCTTAGAAGCCCAAGAAGTAAGATACTGCCTGCTTCTGTCCTAGGATGCCCCTCAAGTGCCCTGCACTGCAAAGGTGTCCAAGTGTCACTCAACTGAGAGGTGGAAACCCTGTGATGGTTAAATGAATGCAGTGGTCCCACTGAAGGGTGTGTTTGCCCTTCTGTTGCTCTTTGGAAAAGCATAACCAACTTGGTGCTCAGACAGACTTAGTCCATGTGTTTCAAGTTAGGAGGTTTTTGGACCAAGGGGTAAATGCTTAATTTATTTTGTGAGCTAATGTTAGGGCAAACACTATATCAGTTGAAATGTAGGATGCATAAAGGTGGAAGCTGGCCAGCCATGCTGCAGCTGCATTAAATAAGTTTCTGTAGTTCTCTGGGCTGTTCTATGAACAATGATATTTTCTCAGCCTGTTGGCTTATTTTGAATAATTCCCTGCGTAGCCTAGACATAACTTTCCTTGTTTTGCTTACATGAATATCTTCACAAGATCAAATTGGATTTTTTCAGTAGGCACTAGCAAATATAAAATCTGTAGTACTCCAATGAGAAACTAGAGTTCAAACAAACTGAGGTAGTTAAGTAGTAGACATGGAAACATTCGTTACAAACATTACAGTAAAATATTGTATTATTTGTACTAGTTTAAACTTCTATTACTGTCATCCACTCAATAAATCAAAGAGAATTGGTCAATGTTCAGCAAGAGATGTGTTATGTTCTGATAGTCCTTGCACTGAAGATAGAGGGGATTTCACCACCAGCTTAGGGAACACAAGCTATCTGTCTGAAGTCAAGCCTACAGATGTATTTTCTGAATCCATACTCAAAGAACAGAGTAAAATGAAGAAAACAAAAGCAAAGGTAGCCAAAAAATGTAAACTTGTAAAAAAACAGACCACTATTTCCTGCACTGGAAATGAAGAAAACAAAAGCAAAGGTAGCCAAAGAATGTAAACTTGTAAAAAACAGACCACTATTTCCTGCACTGCTCTTTGAAAGAGACAAGGGCTCTCTTTTTCTTTCCCAAGTACAGCAACATCTAAAGTAACAGAGAGGTCAAAGAAATCTCTGATTCAGTTGGATTCCCTTGAGCTGTAACAAGACAGCAAATTCAAGCCCGAGCTAAAATCTCTGATTCAGTTGGATTCCCTTGAGCTGTGACAAGACAGCAAATTCAAGCCCGACCTAAGAAGGAAACCTATTGTTTCAAATATTCTGCAAGACCCTAAAAATACATGGGTTTTAAATGGTCAAAGCAGCAGAATTGTTTCAAATATTCTGCAAGACCCTAAAAATATATGGGTTTTAAATAGTCAAAGCAGCAGAAGCTGAGTCCTTTCTAGTACCAGCTTAGCTGTCACCTTACCCTTGCCCTCACAGTATCTAGAGTCATCTTTCAAAGTACGTGGAGCAAAGCAATTCGACTTGGGTTTATCTCCTCATCCTCTTCCTGCAGAGTGTACACGGTACTGTTCCTTTTTGGGTTATTTCAATACTTTACAACTTTTTGTGTAAAGCATAGGTTGCTCACATTGGAATCCCAAGTAATTCTCATCTCTTAGCTCATCAGGGGTCTCGTAAAATGAGCTGGTTTTGTTAAGTAGACTATGTAATTTTGCACTTCACAAATGGCATGACAAGGTATTTTGAATGACACAAGCAGCACAGTCATGTTGTCACATAACCTGAGGATACCACATCCATCTGCTACATGGCACTGGGAAAAAACAGGCTTTGAAAAGAATGCTTGGTTAAATCCACAGCTGGCGTTTCGGAGGCTCCTAAATAAATGCAGCCAGCAACTGGGAACAAAGTAAAAATACACCATGGCGTAAGTCCAGGAGACCAGAGGTCTTGTACCAACCCTATATCTCGGGTACCCTGGCGTTTTATCTATTCCATGAGGGCTTCTATTGTTCTGTGTGTGAAAACTGCAAATTCATCAGGAAACAAGAAGTGTTTCCAGTTAGACAAATGAGTTATTTCATTTTTTAAATAAAACATTCATAATTCACTGTAAAGTCAGTCTTGACTGTTTACTCAGGAACAGAGCCGCAGGTTTAAAAGCAAGCCAACTTTGCTTGTTGTACTCTTAATTCCACTAAAAAGAGCATTAGCAAAAGAGCAGACTGGTTGTTGCTACATTAGTGACTAATATTAGCTCGGCTACATGAGGAATTACTGGGAGTTATCCAGCAATAGTCTGAGCTGTGCCAATGCAAAGTCAAGAGTTCAAGTATGTACATATCTTTTATAGCTGTCAGTCTTCTGCATTGCAAACTGTTTATCTCTGGGCCAAAGCTGTAACTACTTCAATATCAGGTTATGGAAGTATACTTCACATATTAACATTTGAAAAAAGTTTTCCTGTCAATCTGTACAACTTTGTATTGTTGATGCTTTTTCTCCCAAACACCACTGAGAAGTGCTGTAATTAGGTGCTTGATCCACATTGCAATTACTTTAGGGTGAGTTGTCCATTTCAATTATGCTTCACAGACCAAACAAACTCTTCACAGAATAAGAAAAAATGCATGTTATTCAAGTAACTTGAACTGTGCTTTCATCTATATCAACACTGCATGCACACTCATTTGGCAGGACTGGCTGTTGACATACTCTCAGACTAACAGTGTGTGGAAAAGCATTTACAGCTTCAGGTCTTGGGCTGCTTCACACTGGGGCCTAATTTGCTGCTGCTGTTCTTCCATTGTAAGGTAACTCCATGGGAATACTGGGCATGGAGAGGAGGGGTGCTTAGCCTGACTGATGGACATGGTTCTGATGACAAAACTAGTTCTTAGAGCTGCACGTGATGCAGCTCTGTTTGAGCTCACACAACAGCTGGGTACAGTTGTGGTGCACAACTGGCATGTCACCACGTCACTGGTTAACACCAAGGCACACAGGTCTAAAACAGCTGCTGCACATGGGACAGGATCCATCTTTTGCACAGCGATGTAAAAGTCAGGAAAACGTAACGCCATTAAAACTCATCCTCTTCCTCTGCTCCCTGTGTCACTCCCACCCGTGCTGGTTTCCCTGCATGGCTACAAACCAGGGCTCGCTCTGCAGAAGGGAGTTGTGGCTGCTGCACCGAGGCCACGACGCAGCTCCTCGGCAGCGATTCGCCCTGCTCTGTTCCACCGGGGTTATCACTCAGGTTTGCTTTTTTCTACTGCTTTCCAACTTTTTTCTTCCTGGTTGCTATTTAATGCACAGAACAGATGTGTGTTTGGGGTTTTGCTATGGGTCTTGCAGCACAAATGAGGCAGTTGATGGTTGCTTAACTCAGAAAAGTAACTACTAAAAATCATCTATTCCATACATGTGCTTCTTAAACTAAGAACTGCTACAGAAAAAATGGCAATGCAGAGCTGTAACCAATTGCTGTGCTTCCTACTGGATTAATACTAATCTCATCCCAAATAACTCCCTGAGACGAGCCACTTGCAAAGCAGGGAGAAAGTCAACAGCCCGAAATCCTTTGCCCTCCTACAAGGCCGAGATCTGACATCCAGTTTTCCGACTTCTGATCAGCTTAGAATTTCACAAATCTGAACGATGAAGTTGAAGTGATATTAAAAGCCTGGGGCATGTCTGAATTTGAGAGGAGGAGGGAAGGATGAGCTCTCCAAGGGCCAGAAGCACAGTGCAGCCCTGGCCAGTGACACTTGGAATAAGGCTGGAAGTGCAGTTCAGCCGCAGTGCTGTTAGGAGATTGCTGCCGTTGTTAAATTAGTGCCTCGTTTTATCATGGCGTGTTGCGCCGTGGTACTCATCTTGACACATAATTTTAATAATAGCTTGTAAGTGTCAGTGATAATGTAATCTATTTAACAATGAGCCTAAAGATTATCCAGAAGAGAGCATATTATGCCCTGTTAAAACAGCTAATCTGCATAAAACTTATGACAAGCCAGACCTTTTCAGTGTTTAATAAACTGGCTGAATATTCATTTTTAAGGCACTGTCCAAATTGCTTTGGTCACAGATGACTATTTAAAGCCCATTGCAAAGCTGGCAAATACACCAGGGAAATAACACAAGAATGAGAGGAAAAAAAAATGCAACAATAAACCACCTCCCATAAAAACAACAAAAGACTGCCTCTAGCCAAAACCTTTAGTGATTCACATCAGCAGTACCTGGTCCAATTCCAGCAAAACACAGGGTGACGCTTGTTTCGAGTACTTACTGGCCACTTCGGTACAGGATTGGTGCAGGGCAGAGTAAAAAATCAGATTCCACAGTTTTCGGTTTTTCATCTGGAAAAAACCAAACGAGTTGAGGTGAATATACTGTGCTGCTTAAATGAGAAGCTGCTGTGTGAAGGCGCAGTGAAGTCCCTTCCCTTCTCACAGTATGGGGGTTACTGGTTTGGTCATGCCTGGGACTTGCTAGCAAGGCAGGCGGGTGGTAGGGAATAAAACTGCTGCTTTTCTCAAGTGGCACCTGGAACCTACAAACCTGGAGCTGGCTGCAAATGGGAGCGTAAGCCCATGTGACATTGCTTACTTGATTTTACCCAAGTTGGCTCATGCTCTTGAGCAGAGAGAATTTCACAGAATCGAGACCATTTTTGCAAAGAGTGAGACCTTTATTAGGGGTTTCCCAATATTTGGAAGATGAAGCTTTGTTTCTAATTAGCTCCAACTCTGTGCATTGCACTCAAGGATGATTTTATCAGTGGCAATTGGAGTGTCTATTCAGTGTTTCTCATTGTTTTGAGTTTCTAGCTATTGGCACATCTCTTAAATTTATAAAGCATCTATTCATGGAGCGCTGTGTCCAGCGGACAACTCCTTTCCTGCAGCTGTGAAAAAGAGAGGAGGGAGCTCTTAGTCCTCATGTGTTCGGTAAGCTGGGAAAAACTCTGCTCCTATGTGCAGAACGGTGCTCCCCAGCTTCCCCGCAGTAGGACTGTTCACTTCTGTACTGGAGCTGCTACTGCAAACACGGACTATTTCCTGACTTCGGGGTGAGAGCAGATAAATGATCTGCCAGATAAACTTGGAGATGACTCTGTCCTGCTTTTAGGGAATGAGCACACATACAAGTAGTGCAGAGGCAGCTGAAGGAGGAGCTGTTAGCGTAAATGAGCTTTTCTTATGTGCTATAATCTCCACTGACTGCTTGGCCTAGATCTGGGGCTGGTTGCGAGGTGGGGAAGAGGGATTAGCACGTTGCCATATGTTTTTGTCTTAATGGTATGTTTCATAGATTATTTTTCTATCCCACAGCTACATTTGGCAGGTTTCCTTTCTAGCATTTGGTAATGGTTCTTTATAAATGCAAAAAGAGAAGCATGCCAAATGAATCTTTGAAAACCAGAGGAAGTGACAAAATTAGAGTTTGCTTGGAGGCTGGTCCCAAAGTGGAGCCCAAGCCATGGGTAAGGGCTACTCTAAAGCTGAGGAACATCCTCATGCAAGTACCCTTAGTTATGCCCTCAGGTGGTAAGGGATCTGCTGACAGACTGCCAGTTTTTCATAGAGGAGAAGGCAATGACACAGGAAAAATTCTGGTTTTTTGGGACCATGTCCTTTGTCCTGCCACTGCTCAAAGCGCCCTTGCTCCTTTTCTGTCCATCCTAGCTCCACTGCTCTCTTTCAGCTTTCCTCTGAGACAAAAGCACTCGGAGTAGGAGGGTTCCTGCCAGGGGAGGGATGGCATTATGGTTCCTTATTTCCTTCCTATGCTGCTCCCTAAACATCTGCTGTGGTCCACTGCTGAGGACCAGAACCTGGGTGGGTTGTAGCAGGCCTCTGGCCAGACCTCATACAGCAGATTGTGTTTTTACACCGCAACGTCTAACTAAATGGCTATGCTGGTTCCCTCCTTTTGTGTGCTTTAGCACACCCTTTCCTGAAACCAAGAAAGAAGAAAAAGGCAGCGCAGAGATCTCGTTGGCAATTCTCACATCAGACTCTAGCAAGTATCTGTGGGCTCCATCCTGTGCAGGTGCAGTTATTTCTGCCATGGCAAAGCAGATGTGCGCGTGCTGTACAGCCATAAGACACTCAACAATCAGAGAATGGGAGAAACCAGAGTTGTAAGGCATTTCAGAAGGTGATTTGAAGATGGCAACAAGCTTCAGACCCTCTTCAGTGACACTCTACTAGGCTTTCCAGGTAATGCACTCCATGCCTGAGAACCATTCTCCTAATACCTCCCCTACATCTGCTGCAGAATTCAAAGCCTGTTGGCTCTTGCTCACTTCTCAGTGGACTGGGAGAGCCCAGCTTGTTACTTTCAGCCCTGCAGCAGCCCATACTTAACGATTACTTTGGCCATTCTTCCTTCCCTGTAGACTTAAGAAACTGAACTTTCCTGCCCTTCATTACAGCTTTTGTTCTGGACTTCTAGAGATCCTCATCAGCTTCCTCTTGACACTCTCTGCAGTGGAGTAGTCTCCTACTTAGAGCACATCACAACCCAGGTTCCCAGGGGCTATGGCTGGCAGCGCAGCACAGCCCTGCATTCAAAGGGTGTCACAGCCGACCAACCATTAAGTACAGTAAGCCCATTTGTGTAAGCTGCTAGCATTGCTACTAACTAAAGCCAAAACTTATAGTATGGTAATCCCACTTGTCAGCAGGACGGAGGTGTACACTGGTGATGCTTATGGAAAATGGCTAAATCCCTCCTTCACTCATGTATTCTATAGGTCCTTATCTCCACTGGTGCCTTAATGCACTCCACCAGAACATACTGAACACTACAAATGCCACTACGAACATAACCATATTGACAGAGGTATCAAAACACTCTTCTGAAGTAGGTTTGTGTTATTAATTTCCCAAATGGATGGACTGGGGCATAGAGAAGTGACTGCTCATGGTAAACAATGCGTTGGGAGCAAAGCAGTCCTGATGCAAACCAGTCACTTTGAACTGAAATTTAAGTTCTCATTATCTTCAGGTCATGGAACTGATGTCTCAACTATTGACCCTTGAAATGAATTCTGTTCACCTGGAGCTAAGCTAGTCTGTTTCCCTGCTTCCCCAAGTAAGACAGGTACACCATGACAGTAAATACACAACTGCAGCAATAATTTTGCCACAGGGCAAATAGTAACTATGCAGGCAATCTGTACAACAGGCTGAACTAAGCAAGCTAGAGTTGAACACAGGAAACAAAGGTGACAACTTTCATTGAAACTGAAAGGAAATTTACACAACTAGATTTTAGGTACACAGGCTGCCTTCATCCCAAACTACTGTGCTATTCTGTTTTTCTTCCAAATCATGTTAGGTATTGAGCAGGCAGGAGAGACTGGCAGCCCATTGAAGTATATATGACATTCAGAGTAAGGAAGAAAATGTACTGGGAACACAAGTTCAGTTGGGTAGGAATTTAAAACAGGCTAATAGAAAAATCAGACAGTATATAGGGAAGGAGAGTTAGGCTTTCTCTACAGGTCTGTTTTAGGCCATTTTCCAGTCTGGCTTGCTTCTAAGGGGTACTGCTTACAGCAAGAAGTTGATACTAGACATCACTTCAGTTTCTGGATATAAAAACCAGCAGAGGTTTCCAATAATGACTTATTTTCCACCACCATTTACTTTGTGCCAGTTCAGGGAAGAGAGCAGCATGAGGAGACTAATCCAAACTGCAGCAAGGCTGTTCATCTACCCTGCAGTAAGTTAAGGCACTGCGCAAGACAAGACCAAGTCCTGAATCTCTTGGTGAAAATCAAATTCTTCATGAGCATACTTAATTTAAGCACATAGCTAGAAGAAAATAGTCTGCAATATCTGTTACTTTTAGAGCTTTTCTAACTTCTGCAGAATTTCACTCAAAAATTTCACCAGTGATACTCGTAGTTGGACAAAGGAATAGTAAGGATTATATCATCAGGCCAGTGGTGAGCAGTACTAATAAAAAAACAACCACTCATGTGCACCCTGCCAGAAAAAAAACAGATGAAGCTACAGGGCAAGTGCCTGTAGAAGATGCCATGGTCACTCTGTCTGCAACAGAATTCCTTTCCACAGGTCAGGAAACTAGAGTCTAGCTAGGATCTGCTTGTAAAGAGACCCAGTCCTAGAATGGGCTGTTGGGAAATGAAGCTGATGAACCACGTCAAAATACGGGGACAAAATGGCAGTGATTGTTGGAACTTAGCTTTATTCTATGCTGTTGCAGGAGCTCCAGAAAGAAGACTGACTCCACATGATGGAAGGGGACCCAGGCAAGGCCCAGAAACAAACAGCTCAACAGCTATAGATCTGGTACACCAGACAGAATGGGAAGAGATGCTCCAAGGTAACAAGGTAAGAGCACTCTGAAAAATAGCGCCTTCGGGAATCACAATGAGAGCCTATGTCGCAGCCGGGGTCTTCCTCCAAGAAGGGGTACTTGGTTGGTATGCTCTGAGGTCCTGTTTTTTTCCATGGCTACACATCTGCTTAGTTGAACATCAGAAGCCAGACAGTTATCACCATGTTATGTCACACAGCCAGCTGGGTTGTCACACAACAGTCACAGTTTACAGCTGAGGGCAACTGGTAGCAAATGGAAAACACTGAGCAAGATGTGCAAGAACTCTCCCTAATTCTCAGAGCTCTCCTGTTTTCCTCTTTGATATTTTTGTCTTTCAATTTGAATCAAAGGAGGTAACAAGGCACAAAATAAACCACTTAGGTAATATCAAGGCAGATTATCTCAAACTTGAATACTTACGAATTGTAGTTCCGTTCACTTGATAGGTACAAGTAACACCATCAGTTTTCCCACCGAGGGTTAAACCACTTCCTCTAAGAACAACTTGAAACTCCTCTGGAGAGAAAAGCAAAAACCCAAAATGATGGATTTCTAGTGCATTGCAGTAAGTTACACAAAGAGAATTGCAATATAGCCTGCAATAAACGAAGCACAAGGTACCAATGCTTCAAACTTCATCAGGTCTCCTTTTGAACTGACCAGATACTGCACTCTTCAGTGAGGTCCCTATAGGAAACATCAAGACTTGTTCCCAAGTCTTATTTGCTGAGGAAGCCCTATTAAAATGGAAGTTTTATGGACTATCAACAGCATTTGGGGCTCAGCTGGACAGTAAGAAGCATTTTCTCAGTGAAAACTCTAACAAATGAGAAATCTGGGTCTCACAACAAGATGATTCTCCAAGGCCCACTTAGTGCCAGATGAAGAAAACACTTCTCAGTACTATTTTTGGAGCCGCGTAAGGGCCACAGTATTTGGGAACTGTGCAGAGGAAGAGTGAAAACGGTTTGTTTACCAAGGCCAGTGATTTCATTGAAATGATCTATGGTTTTGCAAAAACGCTAGAATAAGGAGATTTTGCAACTAATTTATTTTGATTGGTCTAAAACTGTGTGGATTGTGAAACTCCGAAAGAAAACAAGCCCTTAAAATTCAGTGTGACTCCTCTACTTGACTGCTTTTTTGTGCAACAAGGGGTACATTTGTTGAACACTTGGCTGCTGAAACTCCACAAATCTGGGGCAGAGCACTAGAAACATGGCCATGAAATTATATGAACACAGGTTATCAGGATTTGCGGAATTTAACTCTGTGACCACAGGGAAAACAGTGTGTGTGTCTTGGAGTAAGCGGGATCGCTTGCAATACCAGGGCAAGTGCAGAGCGTGACCAACAGGAGACAGGAAGATGAGTGAATCTCTAACTCTTAGACACATTCCCTCAGCTATGCCGATGGGCCCTGGAAGAGAGCTACTCCGAGGAGAAACATGAGTCTGCAGAGAAGGCTCTCATCTGTCCTCAAATCCTTGAGAATGTTTTTAGAGATGGTTTATTTAAACCATCTGTGGGGTTTTCCTTGGGGCAAAATAGGGAAATCACAGTCCAATAATAATGGGATATTATCTTAAAATAAGAACTTACCTCCCACACAGACACTGGATGGCTCCAAATACAAAATCTCGGTGCAAGATTGCTTCAAAACCTATGGCAAAGGAGGAACCTAGTCAGAAATAGGTTGAGAGTGCTATTTCAGTGAGAAAAAATATTTTAAAACAAATGCTGGTCCTGAGAAGATCAACATGTGCAGCTACAGGTTTGAAATGCATAAGTTAGACTTTGTGTAGGACATTGCCTTGACCGTGTTCAAGTTCTGCTTTCCTGCAGTCAAGTCTCCAAAGAGTTGGTGACTTGGGTTAGTTAAACCCGGGACAGCCTTCAAAATGTAACCATGTCTGATATTTCTGTCCAGATCCCTAAGTTAATTTTCCACGATACCCAATTCTAATGTTTAAGCCAAAAATTGTTCATGACCCTGGTCCAAAACCTACTCCAGTCAAAAGCAGTCTTCCAACAATCTGCAGGTCAAGCCAAGTGCGTGTTACCCAGGGGCTGACATCCTGCTGTATGGGAAGCAGAGGGAGCATGCACAGTGTTCTCGACTGTGCTGCCTTCTGTCAGACGGGTGTTTTCCCTGCTGTACCAGTCAGCCTGCTTGGGCTCTCCAGTCAGTCAGGGAATGTTCTTCGCAAGGGCGGGGAGGAAACAACACTCCTACAAGTCACTTAAAGTACAAGGGATGGAGTGTAAGAGAAAGGAGGGACGAGACACCTTTGGGGTGTACTTGCCAAGGTCTCAGACACTATGCTTAGTTTCAGCCACACCGAGTTTTGCCATTTACAAACACAGAGTGATGGAGTTGTCCAGGGTCACTTAAGCAGAGGCATAAATAGCAGCCAGGTGTTGATTACTACAGGTCACATCACCTTCCACGCAAAACCAGTGCATCTCAGAAGTGGCGCGTCGAGCTTATCGGACTACAGCTGTTGCTGGAATCCAAGTGTGAGGCAGTACCTTGCTCCCACTGCCAGGATCCCCATCTCTTAATTGTTATTGTTGTCTTAATTGTTATTGTTGCGGAGGAGATGAGATATTGATGGCCAAAATGTTCTTGCCCTCCCTAAGCAGGTAAGGGGATTGCTGGTATCTCAGGGGAATGAGTTTCTTGTGACTTCTGCAGTTAAACACACACAAATGATCCACAATTTAACTTCCTTTGACCCTCACATGATCATGCGTGATTTGTTTCCCAAGGGTTTTTAATTTTCCTCTATCTCAGAAAACATTCAGAATGTCTTTCTACAGCTTTCCCTGCAATAAGGGGTGTTTCTTCAGCAGGCATTCATATGTAATGCTACATCAAATCAACTCAGCTGCTTGTAATCAAGTGCATTGCACAAAGTCCTGGTCCTGTCTCCTCTCTGCCTTCGTTTGCCAAACCTGTGCCTGCCCCGGAGCTGCCCTATGGGGCAGTGAGTGTCTTACTCTTCACTCCGTGTTCCTTCCTTTAAATACCTTGTTTTTTACTCCATCTATTCTATTTTCTAGTTATTTCTGTTGCTACATAGCCAGGCTCAGTAGAAACAATAATGTCTTGGTCATTGTTATGACAAAAAGCATGCCAAGGTCCAAGGAAAATAATAGCCTGGCTCACTTAAAGCTTTCTCTATCACCTGTCTTCCAGCGAACTGCTGTGCACACTTTAACTTTTTAGTGTTTCAAAACCTATTTATAAAGCTTACACAGTATTTTTAAAAAAGATAATCCTAACTGATGCATACATGGGGATGAAACACACTGCTAGAGATCTGTGGAAATAATGCAGCTTGGAGTTCAGTGCAAGCTGGCCAGTTTATATCAGCTGAGGATCTCATCTCACTTCCAAAATAGGACTTAGCTTTTTGATTCCTAGTACAGTGTAGAGAGAGCAAGTGTTAAGTAGCTTATTGGCAGAGGGAGGAACACTTTGTGCTAAATAAAACAAAAAGATAAGTGTTTTATTCCTTGTCTGTAAAAGCGTGTTGTGTATGTTATTTTCCTCTGGAGAGACTACCACATGAGTAGTCCAATTTAAGTTCATGAGACTATAGACTTGCTTTAATATGAAGTACAGATCTAGCAGTGGGCAATAACAAAGCCCACTGATTTTATTTTTTTTTTAAAGCAGCACTATACAAAGTGGGAGTAACTTTCCAACTCCTATCCTGCCTCCGTTTGCCCCCTGTCTGAAGTAGGGCCACATGATGAAGTGGGGGGACAGGGAGAGGGAAAGACAATGAGGGATGTAATATTTTCTGGGCAAGTAGTATTTCTGTAATTACACTGTATCTGAGAGTGAGTTCTAAGACTTGATTTCTAAATGCACTACAAAACAGGAGAAGAACTTATTTGGACATGCTTAACTCTCTTTGCATGTAAGAATGAACTGGAGGAGGGGAAACAACCCTAACTGAGCTAAAATATGGCTTAGATTAAATGATCCCAATTCATGAACAAAAGTGAATTTCAATATAGGGTTCAGGATAGACTAAATATGGCAGCATGGAATTAATATTCATACATGCAGATGTGCTGCTTTTGACACACAGCAGGAAAATACTGCTGTTCTCCACTTGGCTTTAGAAAGTTAGACTGCTCCGAGATCCTCACTCTCCTGGCAAGGATGATGCCATTTTCACCCAAACAAAGCTGACATTAGGAAAAAAACACTGTGAAAAGACTAAAATTTCTTTTTCTAAGTTTTAGTTCTTTTCCATCCTTCAAAAAGCTTGACAATCCATGCTTTAAAAGAAAAGGCTAACAGTATCGAAATCTGCCTTGTCCCTGAAAATATTTACCTTCATCATCAAGTAACCTTTAAAAGCAGAAATAAAAGAAACCTTGTAAAGAATTGACTGGAATAAAGTGGAATCAACCTAAAAGCGTACAGGTAGCTCTTTGCTCAGCCTTTTATGTTCTGGATTCTTCTCAACACTCCCTCTAAGCCACACTGGAACAATATGCAGAAGGGCTTTTTCCAGCGTTTAGGTAAAAATCAGAGCGTTCTTGCGAAGGGTCAAAAAAACCCCTGAAAATACTTTCAGACAGCAGTCACCACTTGTTGTTTCACATGCAGGAAAGGTAAACATATTTTCGCATCTTCAAAGGATGTGTAGAAACTTGTGGCCTTTCTTTAGTCTTTTCTATCTGTTTTAATCTTTTTTTCTCACTCTTTCTGTGCAAGCTGTTCCTTCCTGGCTAGTGGAGTGCTCTTGAATATTAAATTCATCTCTTTTCTTTAATAGGCATGATGTGAGGGGATTCTACCCATTTTATCTTAGGATCCATGTCCATTGTTTAATATGCCTTCATATCTCTAGATCAGGGTTGTTATTATTTGACTCCTTCTGGTAACCCTGTGGAATGATCTTGCCAAGACAGCTGATGAGGGATTTTGCAAGGTGCGTGTTAATTATGAAAGTTTCCCTTTTCGAGATGTCGGTGCTTTACTGCACAGTTGAAGGTTGTAAGCACCAGGTGCAGGCACAGTGCCTGGAAGCTCTCATGTGCACCTTCAAGGCAGTATCCTGGCCACTTCTGCAGCCCAAAAGGAGGGATCTGACCCACCTCAACAGAAACAGCTTTTAAGGGAGCTGTCTCAGTTGTGTGTTAAGGGAGCACATTTAACAATGGCCATGTACAAACCAAACTATGCATGTAATTTCACTGCTCTACTCCCCTTCCTTGCCTCCTGCCTTCCAAAAATTTATAACTAGCTTCTAAACTATCGCACTGTGAAAGTCCAGACTGCAAAGTCAGCAAGATTGAAACGAACTCTGCAAAAATCTGTTCTATACTCCCTCTTTCCCAGGTCAAGATACTCAGAGTATGATCTGGCATTGCAAATTCGTTGTTTAGAAACATACTGCCCACAAGAAAAGTTGAAATAATTACTATATAAGGCCATCCTTGGATAGGATAGCTAAACACTCTGCAGACATAAAACAAGTTCAAATAAGACTATAAATTGCCTTAATTTAACAGCATGCAAGGAGAGACTGAGAGCTGATGTCACCCATTACATCTCCAGAGCTCCACACCAAATACAGGGCTTTCATGTCTGGATCTTGCACAGGCTTTTCTTCTCGCCTCCCCCCTGAATGCCACCAGTTCCAGAAAGCAAAGTTTCCCCCCAAACACAAGTGAAAGTTGAAACCTGTCAGTCAGTGTCCTGTAGTCTTTAAGCTTCAGAAATGGAGAACTGCAGAATGGTCCCTCCAACTCTGAGACACAAGTGTGCCCTGCAGAACTGGTTACAGCAGGAAAGGCACAGAGGTGCAGGGAAGGGGGGAGGATCAATCAGAACCACAGCTGTGGGCTTGCTGGTTTAACCCTTGTTAACAAATGTGTGGCTGCTGGAAAAAGACAAGGCAGCAGAGTTCTGTTCATGGTAGACACTGTCTTGTACTTAAAAGGAGAAGTGAAATTCGGGCCCCGAAGAGCCTCTTGTTCAACAACAAAACATCAGCAGGCCAGGGAAATGCTGTTCTGCAGCTCCTCCGTACTCAGAATTTGTTACATCACTGCCATATTGCAGCAGTCGAGCGTCTAAGATCAAAAAACAAGTTGCTACGCTGTTTTCTACGAACAGTTATTACAACAGCTACCTGACTCACAAGCGGCACGAACGCAGCTAATGCTCGGCACCGGGAATGCTGCTCGGCACAGCTTCCCAGGGCTGGCAGGCGGCACGAGAGCCTCCGAAGCTTTTAGGGAAATCCCATCTCGTGGCTGCTATGCCAATGGATGCAGTACAGTTTCCATAGCATTTCTCTAATGCAAGCTCATCATTTCAGAACACTTCTCAGAGCAGAAGTTATCAAAATCAAGGCATCCACAATGCCCCACAGGCAGTGCAGAGCAAAGTCACCCCTGGTGTAAACTCACTGGTGGGTGCTGGGCTTCTATTTGACTAAACTGGCTTGCCTTTTCTGAAAGTGTCGCTTGTAACTGAGCTGCCCGACTGTGGGTGACCAGCTGTCCCATTCCCTGTCTGCACGAGTAAGTGAGCACGGCAATATTCCGTTCAGTGCAGGGGATGAAGGCCTGGCTCGCAGTTACACATGGCCCTTGCTGGATCATGGCTTTCATGTCCCGTACAGAAAA